CCGAAACATGGCTAACCCCCACTATCGCCGATAATGAAATCAGTATAGGTGATATGGTTTTGGTCAAGAGAGACAGGGACAATAAGGAAGGAGGGGGAGTTGCCATATACTTTGATAGGCAACTTAAATGTGTTCGCGCAACGGACCCACCACTTATTGAACTCCCAGACTCCATATGGTGTCATTTCACCGTAGGCCACACCAAGCATTTACTTGATGGCATCTACCGATCTCCCACCTGTGGGGCAGAGCACAATCAGCTACTGCTCAGCACTATCACAGGGATACGAGACTTGGACTATGACCAAATCACCATTGCTGGAGATTTCAATGCCCCATCACTGAACCTTGGCTCGGGGTATGCTAAGGGAAAATTCGGCCGAAATCTACTGCAAGCTATTCGGGACACGGGACTTACTGAGAATGTTGGAGACGACACTAGGTGGGGCCCTAGTGGAAAGTCATCAAAACTAGACTACATTCTAACTAGTGACCAACTACTCGTCGAAAAGGTCCAGGTCATGACTCCTCTAGGAAGTAGTGACCATGCAGTCATAGGTTTCGACCTCGTTCTCCGTGAGCACTTGCAGTGGGACGCTACGCAACCATGTCTGTGTTACAGCAAGGCTGACTACGCTGAAATGCGGAGGCTCTTGTTCGATGCAGACTGGCCCTTAGCATGGGATGAGCTGTCTGTGGATGAACACTGGGAAGCGGTAAAAAAGATTATTCATACAGCGATCTCGGATACCGTCCCTTTAGTCACAGCACAGCCAAAAAGAAAATCATCATGGTTAAAGAGAGGCACGCAGCGTATTCTGCAAGCAAAGAGGAAGGCTTGGTTTACGTGGCGCGTATCTAGAAGCCAGATCGACCATGATGCATACCTGGAACTCAGGAACCGGTGCAATGCAAGAGTTAGGAGGGACAGAAGGTCATTCCAGGCTAACCTTGCTAAAAAACTCCTGGCAAACCCGAAGAATTTGTACCGATTCATGTCGGAAAGGAAACCAACCAACCAAGGGGCTTGCGCCTTAGTAGGCCAAAACGGTCAATACCTCACTAGTCTGAAGATGGCGGAAACATTCAGTTTAGTCTTCGCCAAACCGTTAAACAGCAGTGTGTGCATTACCGGTACCAAAATGGTGGCACTACTATTTCACAGGAGGAAGACCTATTGCCTACTCCCCAAATAAACCCGGCAATAGTACTAGGGTAGCTACAGCGACTCACACCTGGGAAGTCCCCAGGTTGTGACGAAATCAGGCCATCTGTTCTGACGACGATACTGGAGGACTTACTGGTGAAAGGATCAACTCCATTCACTGTAGTGACAGTGTTAACATATCTCATACTACAAACCACATATAATTAATCCCAGCACTTTTTCTTTTGAAGTCAACCAAAGCTACGACAGTCGACTGGCGGGATGGGCTACGCAGAATTTTACGGAAGATCAGGAACCTATACCTCACAATCAAGAGGTGAGCACAAAGAAATCAAATTGGTTTACACTTGCCGGTTCCATCGGAACTGGCCAATTAGTCCCAACACTAAGTTCCCTACCAGCAGATAGCTTCACGTCAACTACCCCACAACACGCTGAGGTTGTAAGACTCACTGTCAGCTGCCTGTATAGCAATGTGAGGGGGCTGAGAGTAAAAATAGGTGAACTCCGAAATCTCCAAGCACACCTACAACTGAAAATAATCATTCTCACCGAAACATGGCTAACCCCCACTATCGCCGATAATGAAATCAGTATAGGTGATATGGTTTTGGTCAAGAGAGACAGGGACAATAAGGAAGGAGGGGGAGTTGCCATATACTTTGATAGGCAACTTAAATGTGTTCGCGCAACGGACCCACCACTTATTGAACTCCCAGACTCCATATGGTGTCATTTCACCGTAGGCCACACCAAGCATTTACTTGATGGCATCTACCGATCTCCCACCTGTGGGGCAGAGCACAATCAGCTACTGCTCAGCACTATCACAGGGATACGAGACTTGGACTATGACCAAATCACCATTGCTGGAGATTTCAATGCCCCATCACTGAACCTTGGCTCGGGGTATGCTAAGGGAAAATTCGGCCGAAATCTACTGCAAGCTATTCGGGACACGGGACTTACTGAGAATGTTGGAGACGACACTAGGTGGGGCCCTAGTGGAAAGTCATCAAAACTAGACTACATTCTAACTAGTGACCAACTACTCGTCGAAAAGGTCCAGGTCATGACTCCTCTAGGAAGTAGTGACCATGCAGTCATAGGTTTCGACCTCGTTCTCCGTGAGCACTTGCAGTGGGACGCTACGCAACCATGTCTGTGTTACAGCAAGGCTGACTACGCTGAAATGCGGAGGCTCTTGTTCGATGCAGACTGGCCCTTAGCATGGGATGAGCTGTCTGTGGATGAACACTGGGAAGCGGTAAAAAAGATTATTCATACAGCGATCTCGGATACCGTCCCTTTAGTCACAGCACAGCCAAAAAGAAAATCATCATGGTTAAAGAGAGGCACGCAGCGTATTCTGCAAGCAAAGAGGAAGGCTTGGTTTACGTGGCGCGTATCTAGAAGCCAGATCGACCATGATGCATACCTGGAACTCAGGAACCGGTGCAATGCAAGAGTTAGGAGGGACAGAAGGTCATTCCAGGCTAACCTTGCTAAAAAACTCCTGGCAAACCCGAAGAATTTGTACCGATTCATGTCGGAAAGGAAACCAACCAACCAAGGGGCTTGCGCCTTAGTAGGCCAAAACGGTCAATATCTCACTAGTCTGGAGATGGCTGAAACATTCAGTTTAGCCTTCGCCAAACAGCTAAACAGCAATGTGGGTATTACCGTTACGAACCAAAATGGTGGCATGACTATTTCACAGGAGGAAGACCAAATAGCCACCCCTCAAATAAACCCTGCAATAGTACTGAGAAAGCTGCAGCGACTTATACCTGGGAAGTCCCCAGGTTGTGATGACATCAGGCCATCTGTTCTGAAACAGTGCGCCGAAGCTCTCTGTAGGCCTTTATGCGACTTGTTCCAACACTCCATGGAATCGGGGAAACTGCCAAAGGAATGGAAAAGAAGCATCCTTTCTCCGATCTTCAAGGGTGGGGATAGGCAAAATCCCACCAGTTATAGACCAGTAGCTCTACTCCCAGTGGTATCGAAAGTACTGGAAAGTGTTATTGATGATCACATCAGGGAATATCTTGATAGGTCTAAAATACTCCATGAAGCCCAACACGGTTTCAGGAAAGGAAGATCCTGCGTCACTAACTTATTATCAGCTTGGGACGACTGGACATCATGCTGGGATATGAATGTTCCAGTCCATGTGATCTTTCTAGACTTTGAGAAGGCATTTGACACTGTTCACCATGACCTTCTCCTACACAAAATAAGCCAGGTAGGTCTAGGTAAACCACTTCTGTCATGGTTGAAGGACTACCTAACTGAAAGGCAATTTTGCACCAAGGTCAATCGAGTCCGATCATCTTGGCACAGCTCGTCATCAGGAGTGTCGCAGGGTTCTATCCTGGGACCACTGATGTTCTTGATTTTTATCAATGATTTACCATGCCGTCTAAACTGCCCGACTCTTCTATACGCTGATGATGTGAAGATATGGAGGGCGATAAAGTGTCCGGAGGACTCAGATAGGCTGCAGGCAGACCTAAGGCTTCTGGAAGACTGGGCGGTAACCAGTGGAATGACTTTCAACCTGAAAAAGTGCAAAGTAGTGAAGTTACGCACCTGTAGACTGCAAAATGCAAGTTACACCCTGTGCAATGAAAGCTTGTCCTGCTCAACGTCGGAACGTGACTTAGGTCTAGTTCTAACGGAGAAAATGGACACAAGCGTGAATTACACGGGGGATGTAGCGAGGGCATATGCGGTCATACACTTTACACATAGACAATTAGGTGCACTCACTCCTGAGCTCTTTCTAAGGTTGTATAAAACATACGTCAGACCGCATCTTGAAGTGCATAATATCATTGCACCCCCACTGCTTAAAAGAGTCGCCAACCTCTTGGAAAGAGCCCAACGACGGGCAACAAAAGGAGTGGTTGGTCTCCGAAATAAACCATATGACGAAAGGCTGAAGAAATTAGGCCTATTCACACTCAGTTACCGTCGCCTGAGGGGGGATTTAATTACTGCCTACAAAATAACAAATGATCAGAATCACCCGAACAAAGGTGTTCTGCCATTGAGTAGGTATAGGCTCCCTCGTGGAAATCCCAGAAGGATAGCTCATCAGAGGGCAAGGACCCGGGTGCGCTCCCACTTCTTTTCCCTGCGGGTTTGCCGTCCCTGGAATTCCTTACCGGCAGATGTAGCTATGGCACCATCTGTGGACGCCTTTAAGCGAAGGCTGGACAACCTTGCAGTGACACAAGGACTGTATCCAAATGGCCTATCCCCTTAAAATCGCATATACCATTCAAAGATAGACAATTAAACTGGTCGTTTTACTTCTTCACATTCCCTTCAGTCTTACTCTCCTGACAGCTTTAACTATACTTATTATTATTATTGTTATTATTATTATTATCGTTATTACTGGTATATATTATATATATATATGTATACCGGTTGACTGACTGTTGTTACGTTTTCTTATTTTTTCTCTGTCTGTTAGTCTGAATACCTTTACCAATTATATCTATTATTATTATTATTATCTCTTTTCCATTGACGACGATACCGAAAGACTAACTGGTGAAAGGATCAACTCCATTCACAGTAGTAACAGTCTTAACACACTTCATACTACAGACGCCATATAATTAATCCCAGCACTACTCCTGTTGGAGTCAACCAAAGCTACGACAGTCGAGTGGCGGGACGAGCTACACAGACGTTTACCAAAGATCAGGAACCTCTACCTTACAATCAAGAGGCGAGAGCAAAGAAATCAAATTGGTTTATACTAGCTCGTAAAAAGATATTGGAAAAACGAAATTGGATATTGGAACGGCGGACAGACTAAATCATTTGCTACGTATTACGAAACTGGCTGATGGTCGATGAAGCTACTAAGAAGACTCTTGCTGCCATACCACTCCTCAAAACTAAAGCTGGTCCTTTAGATGGAGAAATGTGGGTACAAAGATTAAAAGAGGAGTACCAAGCCCTGATAAAATATGTTGAAAATAATAAGGCAGCGGACAACGATTGGTTTCGAATTGAGTCAAATCAAAACGGAACCAGGTGGTATGGAAAATGTTGGTAAGTTTCTTCGTCATGCTAACTGTATTCGTAGGTATATAAGTGACATGAAGAAATATGAATTCGATCTCAATTTTGATATACCTGTCTCCTACCCAAGTACAAATCCGGAACTTGCTTTACCAGAGCTTGATGGAAAGACGGCAAAAATGTACAGAGGGGGCAAAATATGCCTTACCGATCATTTCAAACCTTTGTGGTGTAGGAATGTTCCGAAATTCGGCATCGCTCACGCAATTGCACTCGGTTTGGGTCCTTGGCTAGCAGTGGAGATACCTGATCTGATATCAAAGGGAATAGTTAAATACAGAGATGATGAGTAATATGAACTTCTATACTTGATGTAAAGCTTACTGAGTTGTTTTGTTACAAAGCGGAATTACTAAACGGTATGTGTCTTTTTACCTATTCGTGAGTAATAGGGAGAGGCGGTATTTACTTTCATCATTAAATAAGTTTGATCTACGTAGTTTTATCTTTGAATATTGACTAATTTATGAAAGTAATGCTGGAGATGAGTGATATGCTTAAGAACCGAACGTCCGGGTCGATAACTTCTCTAATTAATAGTGGTTTCAGACCTTAAGACGTATTATCGTGCAGTAACTATTTCTTACTCCACGTCTGTTTATTCGTTTCGAAAGATCAAAATCCTTGATCTCCATAATTGTGAGAAGTGTAGTGCATCGCGACTGCAATTGGTGTCCATCTGTGGTTTTTACAGACAGTCGAAACAGGTCTAGAGGAAAGTTCCATAGGGAAAATGTAATTACTCTTCCTCGCTGAAGAAATCTATTTTGAAATCAGTTTCAGTCGTTAGGGAATTGCTGACGCATCAAATGAGTCCTATACGCTAGGCTAAGTTCCCTATTTTCTCCAGTGTATCTACCAGATCACGACGTAATCAGACATTTATGAAGCGATACCTGCAGTTGAACTTTTTCTCCGTGTTCAGAAATTAAGTCAAAACTTTAGTTTTTCTCTTCATAATAATAACGCTTTTATTCCGCACTTTCAATGGCTGCAGACATTTTGTGTCGTTCGCATCGGTTGCGTCTTTGTGACTGACTTCACACACAGGTGCAGCAGTTCTAGTTGCCAAGCTCCATGTAGCGCACAAGCAAACAAGAGAGATTCGAAAGAAGTGTAATGAGCAAGATTGCAGGGAAGGACTATGGTAACACGGCAAAACTATAGGATTTAATAGACGTGGGAAGTCACAAAGAATAAATGCGTTTGCGACGATTTCGAGCTACCTCAGTATCACACACCCTATCGTACCATTTAACACGGGAAATAAAACGCAGACATGATGAAATATAGCTGGCCTTTTCATTTTCAATGGCCATGTCTCACAGCCATAAAGAAGGACAGAAAGAACTACTGAGCAGTACACACGTCCTTTAGTGAACTACAGCATATCACGTCAATGGCAATTGTTACACGAGCCTTTTGTATCCGTGCTACGATTTCGTCAGCAATCAGTCGATTGGGGCTGACGCAACTTCCTGAATAAGTGAAGTGGCCATCATATTCTACCACTTCACTTTGTATCTTTAAGCTAGTGGTATGTGTAATCTAGTCCTTTAGCATCATCTTACATTTGACAGGAGCAAATCTCATTCGGTCGACGGAGTCGAATGCCGCATTTACGTCAAGAAATATGACGATTGTTGGATGCCAGTAAGTATGCCAATGTTCCAGAATCTGTTGAAGGGTGAAGATATGGCCAACACACCGACTTCTTGGTCTAAAGCCTTCCCAGTTTCCTCTTGTTTGTTCCTCCCAAGCACCACTTAGTCTACGCATGATCGTTGAGCCTAGAACTTCAGATACCACATTAGTCAAGCTAATCTCCCTGTGATTATCACAGGAAGACTTGTATATCAAGATAATCAATGACTTAAACCTGCGCAACAGGACTTCTGATTCCCAGACGCTGCCTAGTACCTTAGTTAACGCAGACAGTAAACTGTCTCCACCGTCCTTAAACACCTCTGGAGTCGTTCCATTAGGTCCCGCTGCTTTGTCTCGTTTCAGATAAGACACAGCATTTTTAACCACAATTATAGATAGAGAACCGGTGTTTATATCACATTCAGGGAGGTGTTGGGTGCTCAGTTGGTTGAGCGTTAATGTATGCCAGTTAAAATTCTCAAAATGTTTCTTCCAACGTTACAGTCGTCTATCATGAGGACTCACTAGGGTGCGATTTGTCGGCCGCAAACACACTTCTCAAACTGATACAACTTCTCCACTTGAGCATTGAAGTTACCTGCTAAGATGACTATTCCTGAGCACAGCAAACTAGACAGTTTTCGACAGAACTCATCATTTACTCCTCTCGAACAGCAGTTGGTCGGGACGTAGACGGAGATCATAACAAGACACCAAGGAGTAGTGCAGTACTTCGTACCGAAACTCAATGATGTCCTATTTTTGTTGTTATTTGGGACTCCATCTTTGACTGAATTCAAGTGATGCAACAGAGGCACTGTATGTGTAAACTACGTTAATTGAACTTATCATCAAAAATTATCTATGCTTCGGTAAAACCGTAGCAAAATTAGACTTAAACCTTATCATAAAAAACCGCCAGCAGAATTTCCCTGAATAGCTGAATCAAGAGTACACCTTATGTAATAGAGTGCAGTCAGCTTGGGAAACTAAACACTTCTCCTAGACAGAAATATCTAAAAACTGTACGTGCTACGTTCAATCTAGTGTAGCTGGTATTCCTTACATGTTTACAGAATTATTAATAATAATACAATATATATTATGTAGGTCGAGCTCAACAATGTTTATGTATGGGTAGTGACACTTTTAAAATATCAACATGTTGCCGTACATCTGCAAGATTAGTGGATCACAGCTTTTAATCTCTTCACCTGACTAGGTTTTAGCAGTTCTTACACCATACATACCACAAGATCGATTGACAGACGAGTATAGGTGGTGGCGATTAGATGTTCTAACGTCTTTGCAAAATGTGAGCTCTGACCGTGAATGGTAATAAATCGTGCTTCATGGTTGTTACACTGATAAAGCATCTGTTTGAAACCACTAGACTTGCAGATTGATTTTGCCTGGACCAATTATATGCTTAACAGAAGACAACTTAACGTCCAAACTCCTGTATGGGACTATTCATTACTCGAAAGGTACCTTAGCCTCCATGAACTCTTCAATTACAGGTAGTACGTCCCGAAAACATTCCTCGTCCTAACAATAAGTCTTAAGCAGTTTGATGCATTCACTATATTTGAATCTACTTATTATTAATGCCATAATTTACATCACACTTCTTATGTTATTTTACTTAGTGCATTTTTCAGGTCGACACAACATGTAACTGATGGCTGTTAATTATGTATAACATTGCAGCTTACTCATCAGTGTTATAATTGCTGTAGAAAAAAGAATCATTCGAATTTGTTGTGAATGCATATGCTTTCTATATTGTTTCGGAAACATTATTTGATAATTTTGCACGGCAATTTGTGAGCGTGAAATAACTTTCTGCTACGTTGAGTCCCTTCAGGAAAGTGCAGGTTATATACGTGTATGTGTGCTGTTTAGCTCAAAGTCCACTGCGACTCATATTTTCTTAGTATTTAATCCTTCCATTACTTTTTGTCTGTATCGGAGTCAAGTAAAATGAAAGGAAAGAGTTACTTCCTCTAAATAAATGAAATGGTGTTGTAGGATAAATTTTTTTTATTCCTTTACGTTCCCAGTGGAATATAGGGCTTCAAACTAGAGGCTTGAAGTTTCTGTAGCAGTGTTTATTTTTACGAGATGGGGTTGCTAGCCTCATGCCCAACCTCTCCACTTCGCCAGCATTATTTCTGGCTTAGTGAGGCAAAGGAAGTGCGTCGGCCGGAGATCGAACCCCGGGCCATGTGCATGGTCGGCGAGCGTCCTAACCGCTGTGCCACCGACGCAAAAAGTGGTGTCAGGTGTGGGATAAATAAATAGTCCAGAAGAAAACAGACAGCTGTACCGAAATGATCGCGGTTGATTAGATCTTTGAATCCACAGTTCTGTGGGGAGGAAACATGATTCTAACGGTTAAGACTGAACTGCTTTGTATTAATAGCATCAATAACGGTGACCCCTCCTTGCAAATAGTTATTTTACATACACCTAAGTAGTTATCTAGTAATGCAAAATTAGTCATACTGATTGTTAAGTCTCTTTTTTCTCAATCTTTTATTTCTTCGCTATCCTTGTATCTTGACGGTCTTATAATCATTATATTAATATTGGATAACACAAGACGTGTTTCATCTACGTTTCATTTGAATCATTACCGTTAAAATTGTCATGCTATCATCCTGCAATAGTTTTACTGGTTGCTGTGTGATTGCACAGTTTTAGTCTTTGATCGTGATTTGGGTTTGCTATATCCTTATTGCTCATCACTGTTGTTCGAAAATGTTTTTTACAGCAATAAGCCCTACTACTCCACATTTATGCTTTTACTAGTCATTGTTATCTGGAAGTACACTGTTGTGCATAAAACAAATCATGTTTTTGAGTTCCACAAATCACTCGGTGGTCAGCTTAATTATCGATGAGTCCTTTAGTATAATGAGGAGTAGTATACACTGTTTAACCCCTGGATATTATTTTGCTTCAGTACAGCTCTTAGTGCCTGACAAAGACATCGATAAGGACGAACTTGAATTAAGATTTGCCTTCATCAAACTGAATCCATTGAATCATAGGAAATTGTTTCGGTACTCAATGCCTTACGCTGTATGTCCTCTAGTGTCTGAAAGATTATCACAAAGAAGGTGAGTTGTTGAATAACTCAAGAAAGATGACATGAATAATTTGACTTGTAACACTATCTAAGGAAATGGCATTTTATTATAGCATTCTAGAATCAGTTCTGTTATCCAGCGTGAGTACTATTCATAGTGGAACTGTATAGACTATTTAAAACGGTTGCAATCCTGTTATCGTATCCCAAACTTAGAAACTACTAGATAAAAATTACCTAACGTACATTGGCGACTTGTGCAACCAGAAGTAATATTCACTTAGCGATAAAATAATTATCTAAAATAATCCATAATCACCATTAAGCTTCAAAATTCTCAACAATTAAGTGTACATAGTGCTTTAAAAAATAAATGCTGGTTATACTTTTAAATATTTACAAGTATATACATTATTACTGCATGATAGTACCAACAGTTGTAGCATCTACTTCATTAACAATTAACTTTACTTCCTCGATAATTGCTTTTCTTGATATCAGTTGCTTTTTATACACTTCAATTGCTTCAGTTACCTTCCTGTTTAGTTCTTGAATGGAATACAGAGCTTGACGTTTCGTTTCTTTGAAGTCCGTTTCATGTGGAATCGTTGGTATATTTGGAGGAATTTGAGACCTGGTCATTAACGCACGATAAAAGGTTGGGGAAGGGTCAACAAACACCATTTCATCGTAAATTTCTCGAACCAAACTCCTATGACCCATCATTATTTCATGATCACAATGAAATAATTTAATAAGATGAGTTATTACTAAGGGCTTTTCATTTGGATCAGTAAATATGACTTTGATTGTTATATCGAATTCTCCCCATCCTGTTTCCGTTAGTTCAAAAGGGGGTTTATTAACAATTCGAATAGGATTCGAATAACTCTCATGCAGTTTGAAGTGCACTTTTTTAATGAATGTTGATAAGTCTTCATTATTGTTGTAAGGACGAAGAAACGCAGTCCATTGATGTGTTCTTCCATCTTCTTCGCGCTTTTTACCTAGATAGCGTGAAACGTTTCCGTAAACTATAGGCTTGACAACTATCGTTTTCAAATTTCCTACATCCTCTGACATCTAAAAAATAATTCAATACCTAGAGTGGATTAGAATGAAAAAAGCAAAAGTATAAACACAGGCACAACAGAATTTAATTCACCTTAGATTCATATAAAAGCTAGGTTAATTTATCATTCACGTCTCGGTAAACTCCGATATCGTTGAATTCCACATCCTAAATCGCGTTAATAGAATCAAAACTCTATCACTTTGAGATGAGACTGCTTATAACCAGAATAGAAGACTTAAGCAATAGCCATGTGTTGTGGAACCTCGTAAAGCGAAATAGAATGGATAAACTAAGTAACGAAATGGGACATATCAGATCAAGCTGCAGTCGCCGTTTCAGTGGATTCTTTCAGGAAGTAGGGTCGTGACGGAGCTACAGAATTCTTTGATTTCTCCGAAAATGAACTCAATTTGAACATTTACATCGCCAACATAAAAACCCTACATTACACTGGGGTATAATATTCATTTCAAGGGATTGGCTACAGTTTTTATGGCTCAAGGAAAATCAAAATTGGTTATTATGTTTCGCATTCAAATTGTAAACACAGTAAATGCATTTTACCACTACAAATATCTTATTCATCAATATCAATCACTACACTCGTTGTCCAAGGTCATATTGAATTGAGACACTAGGCTTTAAGTTCGCCGTGATTCTTAACTTCTGATTTTGGTGGCCATGCCTCAGCTGTAAAGTTCATCAAGAAAGACTGCTGCTTAGTACAATCGTCTTTTGACAGATATCCGGATACTACACCGGTTGCAAACGTGATTCACGTTAACTTGAATAAACCAACTTTTCTCAATTCATTAATAACCAATCTATTAGGGTTGACATAACTTACCAAATAAGTAACAGTCAATGCGTCTGAACATTTTACTGCTTATTCCCCTAAACTACATGGTTTTGAAGATGTGACGCTCTGGCAATCGGTCAACGGATTCTTAGTTCAAACGCCGCTTTAACTTAAACCATGCCCAGTAGGTAGTGTTACCAGCCTTCATACAATAAGTTTGGCTTGTTGCACGGTACACAAGAAATCGGTTTTGAAAAACTGAATTTAAACTAACTCTCTATTACTAACTTTTTTTAAGAATCACATATACATTAATTACTAGTGAGTCATTCTTGAGATCCTTCAAAAATCTGTCGACAGAAAATTGGATATTTATGACTAATCGATAGAAATGTCGTAGCTGTATAGTTACTATTGTTGTCTGTGGTGCTTAATACTTCTGAAATTCCACTGTAAGGTATCTCTATTATGCAGGAAACAATATAATCTTCAGCGTCAAGCTGCAACCAAGGAAGAACAAGTACAGTTAGGATTGCGGTCCTCTAATGTTAATTATAAACAATTAGCAGACGTTTTTATAATTTTAGGTAAATGAATGTACAAAACTTTGGGTGAACTAAAATGCACAATGCGAGAGGAACTTTATTGATGGTGTAGTCACGATAATAAGGCACAACTAATTCTGACCTGTGAGCTCTAATACCAAAATGATGTTTTGTGTGCTGTGAAAAGCCTGGTATGTAACGAACTAGTACAGGAAGTGCTAAAAAACAGCAATGGATGATTTAAAAATATGGTAAATGCGTTGAAAATGCCGATTAGTGTGAGAATGAAGTATATGCTGAACTATGAAAAATGACAGTTCACGCCTAAGTAATGCTAGTCATTACTGAATTTGATCTGAAAGTGTGACAAAAGGAGTTGAAATAATCCCAGTAGGCAATGAACTAATTTGAGCAGTGAGAAAAATAATGCTAGTGGGCGGATAATGCGGGAGAATTCCAAGCATATAATTATGTTTTGGTCAGGACTGTGCTCCTACTTTCTATAAAATAATCAGATGTAAGGTTCATTAATGGAACTATCATTTATATAGCCGTAATTACGGCGGAGTTCTGTGACACTAACGTCGCATAAGGAGGCTGGAGATGTGATGGACAAAGTCATACAGTCTTACTATCAAAATTTGACAGATCATGTCCACGAGTGAATGACGAAAAAAGGAAGTCAGGTAATGTTACAAAATACATAAACTCAACTTTAAAAATTGTGGTTAATGCGAAACATAGTAACAATAGTCTTTTACTTCTAGGCGCTTGAAAGAAACATCGAGGAAGGAAACGGTGTTAGTTCCCCTTTTCGAAATGTTACTGATCAAAATCTCTGTGTATTCTTCAACTAATTTTGAATGTTGTTTATTTGCAGGATATTGCCTGTTAACTCTGCTTGACTGATTCATAGTCAGACAGTACTCTTCTATTTTCAAATAAAACATTCTAATTAAAAAAGTGATTTCCTAATGTAAATTCAATGAATTTCGAAAGTATTAGGTATAGTAAGTAATAATTAGCACAAGATGATAGACATAATTATGCTGTTAGTCTTCCTCGACGGGCAATGTTAGCTGACATAGGGTCAGGCTAGAAAAGAGCCGGCGGTGGTAAAACCAAAACATGGCACTAGTCAATGAAATCCACAATTGTTAGTTTAAGCCAGGTAGGAAGGTGTAGACTTCCTGGTTGGGGTCCTCTGGACAGTAAAAACCAATGAATGGAGACAATCGGTGATATGGCTCAAAATCGTTCTCAATGGCGTAGATGCGTCTACTCCTTGTGACTTATAATTTCCAATGAAACTATATCGTTCTTTGTTATTATTATTCATTTTGTCTCATAAACCCGTCTTCTGTCTCTATTTTGCATTCCTTCTCTTGCTTTGTGTGCTACATGGAGTGTGGCGACTTGAACCGCTGCACATCGGTGCAAAGTTCTATGTTGAAAACAGACAGACAGATGCTGTTAGTAGTTAGATGATGTGTTGAGTATACCAGTTACTTCAGAAAATCAATAAATGCTGAACTAGCGCTTGAAGAGCGCCAGAATAGATCTGGGCAATGCTCAGTCAGTGTTTAATTGGGGCTTGAAGAGTTGATATTGAGAGATACCAGTAAGCATCGGATTACTGCGAGTAATACTTTACAACAAGCACAAAGGAAATATCGCAATTCTTTGTTGTACCATATCCAGTATCGTTTTTACGAGCTAGTGTAAACCAATTTGGTTTTTTGTGATAGCTTTTTGGTTGTAAGGTAGACGTTCCTAGTCTTTGGCAAACTTTTGAGTAGTTCGTCCCACCTCTCGACTGTCATAGCTTTGGATGACTCCAAAAGGTGAGGTGCTGGGATTGACTGTATGTAATTTGTAGCATGCAGTGTATTAAGACCGTGTCACTAGTGTGAATGGAGTTGATCCTTCCAACCGTTAGTCGTCCAGTGTCGTCGAAAAGAGAGATAACAATAATAATAACAGATATGATTAGTGTAGACTATGTAGACTGGAAAGAAAGAACTTAAAAACAGATAGTTAATGAAACTGGGAAGTGATATATATATATATATATACTTATATATATATATATGGTACCTACATGTGTCAATAATAATAGTGTAAGGGACGTAATAGTTGTAGTAGTATGAAAAGTAACACGAGAGAATGTGAAGAAGTAAAACGATGAGTTTAGATATCTACCCATTATAAATGTATGAGATTTTAAGGAGATGAGCCGTTTGGACGCAGTCCTTGTGTCTCTGCATGATTGCCCAGCCTTCGCTTAGAGCTGTCCACGGACGGTGCCGTAGCTATGGGGACGGCAAACCCGCAGTGAAAAGAAATTGGGGCGTATTCGAGTCTTTGCCCTCTGGTGAGCTATCCTTCGTGGATTGCTATAAGGAAACCCATGCCTACTTAATGTCAGAATACTCTTCTTTGGGCGATTCTAGTCATGTAATATAAACATGTCAGTACTAATAAGGTGATTATTAAATCTCCATGAAAATCGATATATACGGGTTTTGATTGACTGTTGGCTAGTTGGCCTCCTATTGGTCTAAAACATTTGTCAAAGCAGAAAGTTTTTTACTTTCACACGGATAGTGACAGGCAGAATAGGCAGTGGAATTAAAGACTTACCATACTATAATGGCGTGTGAATTCTTTTAGTGTGAGTGTAGTGTGATGAGTCACATACTATTTGGATGCATTAGTGCTTTTGAAAGTATATTGAGATAAGTATAAGAATTTTTACTAGGTGAATGCTATTCAACAATAATTATGAGATATTTAAGTCCCAAAATAGGATATATACATTTTTTGCTGACTAGGTGAATATAATTCAACTACAGTTTCTAAATATTTATTCTATGTCTTTGATTAGGATATATACATATTTTAATTGACACATTTTTTAAGTTGTCAATTCAGTGACCTATGTGATTTTTGCTTACTAGGTGAATATAATTCAACTGCGATTTACTAGACATAAGGATAAAACTTGGACACTGGTAGAGTATTATTCTATTATGGATAAAATTTTATTTTGACCACATGATTATGAGCAATGAATTTTCCTCAAAACGTCATCAGTAAATATTACTGTATAACACTGTGTGACTTTATCAAAATAAAATTTTACCCATAATGCAATTGCAGTTTACTAGGTCACGACAGTGGTATATAAGCACTGAAGTATATATATATATATATATATATATATATATATATATATATTATTCATCTACTAAAATCCATTGTGTTGTGCTCGCTAAGCATTGGTAACGCCATTTCATGATGTTACAAAATACTCCTACTGTCTCTACTTCACAAAATGTGCCACGTACGTATTCCGATGTAACGGGTATATTCCAGAGAATAATGCTTTCGTGTATATTTTATAAGTGGGCGCAATGTAAGCAAGCTTTTGATAAATTTATGAAGGTAATAACTAACTTGTTCATTATTTCTTTGAAAGGAATCAAACACACCATACGGGGTTGCTTCAATTCGTAAGAAGGACAAATGCGGTCCTATGGAATAGAAGTATGTGAGGTATGAATGCACTTTTGGAAGTTATCGTGCTCCTGGAGGTGCTGGCTTGAGGAATAAAGGGTAATTTGGCTAAGCATGTATATTTTAAATTTTTTAGGTCCCAAGG